TTCAAATAAGATAATTACCAAAAATAACCACACAAATCAGATTAGGCAGAAAATCCCAAATTTCGAATTTAAGTTGAAGTCATGACGCGACAAAGTCACTGTCACGACGTGAGAACCATATTTTTCGAAAAAGTTTGTTCAATTCATCTTATATACTTTCATTGTTAGACACACCAAGGCTCTGATACCACTGATGAGTTTTATAGGTTATAAACGCATGTGCAATGCGGGAAAACACTTAACAATTAAAATGGCACATGCAACCTATAATGATCTATGTCATAACACTGTGAAGGCAACATACATGAATAAAAAAACTAGATAAACCCTAATATATTCGAAACCATCGAGTTAGGGTTACATACTTTTGATTTGTTGTAGTAAACAAATCACTTCAATCCCGTGTAGTTGTTTGTCTTTGAAAGCTTAGCACCAAAATGATGATGCATCTAATGGCTCACACCAAACCTTAGAACTAAAAGACAAGAGAAAAGAGAGGAGGAAGGTATAATTTTCGTTCACAACCTTTTACGAAATGAGAACCACCAATTAAGTGCCCCCAAGGGTCCTATTTATAGTTTAGGTAACTTAGGGACAAAACAAGATTTGAATGATTAAATAATAGATTTAATTTCAATCCAAATCTTTTCCTTATCTACTACCAGGAAGCTTCTGAAACTCTAAAAGAGCTCCCCAAAACGTTCATATGATGGTAGGTTCTAGAATTGTGTTTCCTTGCTCAACTATGAACAATTACAATTCACCAATTGCACCTTTTATTAATTCCAATTAATCTCGAATTAATTCCAAATTAATTATGAATAATAATTAATCAGTCCTAATTGATTTCATATTAATTTATTAATCATATAAATTAACAAATCAATTATTTAACAATTGATCTCATATTAATTTATTAATCACATAATAAATTAAACAAACAATTATCTATTTCCATTAATTATTAATCATATAATATATTAACAAATCATTTCCTCATAATTTTCAATTAGTTTATTAATCAGATAATAATCTAATAAATTATCCTCTATCTACAAATGTCATTCTAACTAGGGATGAGCAAAGGAACTGACTCGGTTGGAACCGGCCCGAGAACCGAACTTGGTGGAAAATAGGAACCGAACCAGACCACCGGTTCTACCAGTTCTGATTCCTACCGGTTCTTCCTGTCTCTTCAATGTTGGAACCTGTCCTCGAGAAATAGCAACATACGGTTCCGGGTTTTCCGGTTCTACCGGTTCCGGTTCCCGGTTCCAAAAATGCACAAGAATATCGTCTTGGTCCCGGCCCGACCGGTTCCATCGGGTTCCGGTTCTGGTACCGGTTCCGACCGGTTCCCCGGTCCATATGCTCATCCCTAATTCTAACAAAGTTCTAGTTATGAGGACAACACAAAAAGGACTCCACTTCTAATTATGAGAATATACCAATTTAAAAGTCTTGCAACTCATATTTCTTGCTTATTGTGAATCAAGCATAGAGATTATTTAACTTGATAATCAATCTCCTTTACCGAGTATTCTACAAAACATTGTGGTTGAAATATTGTTAATTTTAATTAGCCCTAAATGGATCCATAACATTGGGAATTAATATTTCAAAATATGTTTTGTTTATATATGATTGTTTTAAACTTCAATCACCAAAAGTGGTATTATAGTCATTTTGAGAACTTTATAAAATTATCTTTTATTATCGTTCTTAAATGATTTCTTCATTTTCTTGGAAATAGTAAAAAAAACTATCTAATTGTTTTAAAACTTTTGATGATCTAAATATGTTTACTTTTAGAAAATCATTAATATAACCATGTTGTAAAACTCACCGAGTTGGCCGATTACTCAGCCGAGTACTCCCTACTCGGCCCCTTACCGAGGTGAGTTACAGAATCCGAGTACTTTCCAGTTGGCCCCTTACTGAAGCGATCAATTTTGTAAAACTCGGTCAATTCGATGCTTAATATGTATAATATACTTAATGATTTATTATTTAACACACACACATGTGATTATTACTATATATATATATATATATATATATAATATATATATAATATATATATTATTATAATATATATATTATATATATATCTTAAATTTCCACTAATTATTCACAAAGTGATATCATTGTGTGTTTTTCAGTTTTTGTGTATTCAATTTTGTTATATATTTCAATCAACTTATGGTTTTAACTTATGATTTTGACATATATAATTTCCTTAAAATAATTTCCATATAAATTACCGAATCTGAGTACTCCCCAGGTACTCGTTACTCGGTAGTCGGCTAAACAGGTACCGAGTAACAAGTTCTACAACCATGAATATAACTGGTTTTTACATGCATAAAAATCAATATTCACCTTAAAACTGTTTTTCGCTAGGATTGATGTGTTGTCCTTACCCTACTTAGATCTAATAGTGGTTTAGTTATGATTCTTGGTTGTTTATGATTTCGACATAAACGTTATGTATTTCGGTTTGTAAGCTTATATCAAAAGTAATATATGGTTATGACTTAAAAGGGCATGGTACTTTGTTTCATGTTTCATAATTAGCCAATAATTTTTTTTATACATATTTGACCATTGAACTTGTTTAATTTGTTTAAAAAAATGGAATATTGCATTTTATAATATTACACTTTTTGAACATGCAGTAAAACAAATACAATAGTCAAATGTGTACAAACAAACATTGTTAGCTATATGTGAACACGGAACAAAATACGTTACACTCTTAAGTTATTAAAAAAAATCTCAATAACTTTTTTCCATACTACTTTTTAAAGGTGTTTCTTTTTTGCGGTACATGTAGACGACTAAAATAAATATTATGAAACAAGGTATTTTAACAAAATTATATTTATATTTTTTATCAATAAAAAAATTGATGATGTACATACTATTTTTAAATCTCATTTATATTCTTATCTCGTTATTGTATTAATTTAATTTAATAGAAATATATCACAAAGCATGGCATTTTAGTAGGTCTCTTTAATACATTAAATGATAATAACATTGAATATTATTATTATTACTTTGTTTTACTATATATAAGAGAAATAAACACATGTTAGTGTATAATAGTTTTTATTATTTAATTGATAGTCACAATCAACATTATTAATATGGTTTTCTGTTCTTTACGAGTATAACTATAAAAGATAAAATTAGGTTATTAACTTAGTGCTAGTTGGTTATAGCTTGCCTTATCCATGGTAGCTTTTTGGACAAAATTGCAAAAATGGTCCCTGTGGTTTTCCAAAAATCTGTAATTTTTGTCCAAAAAAGTTTGATGGTGAATTAGTGGTCCAATTTTGGATAACTCGTGTGCTTTTGGTCCCTATGGTTGTCATTTTTTGGGTTTTGTCCATTACCTACTTTCAATGACGAAAATGCCCTTAAATATATATATATATTTTTAAATTTCTTTTAACTAGTTTATTATTATTTAATTAAAAAACCAAAAAAACCCCACTTACCCACCCCACCCCTCTTAATTTCTTTTTAATATTTGGAACCACCATCCGGTCACCATCACCGTCGGACCGCCGACCTCTTCACTAGAACACCACCATTCTCCTTCAACACCTACTATATCACCTTCACATGAACCTCCATAAACCACCCTTATACCGCCACTACAGCCACCAACATCACATCAAGATCCAAAATCGAAAATGGTTCTACAAATCAAATTATCCATCGAAATTGGAGGAAGGGAGAAATAGGGAGGGACTGGAGGTGGGTTAATCGGTGTTTGGATGAACATGATTGGTTTCGGTTGTAGGTTTATTTCGAATGGAAAACCAGATGAGCAGTGCTGGTTTTTCATAACAATGGTGGCGGTGGTGGTTGATGAGATTCGTCGCCCCTCTGGGCCACCGACGTCCGCCTCCCTAGCTTTGTTTATGCATAGAAATCTAACCCCCACTCCCTTATTGAGTCACCGTCTTCCCCACATCACCTTAACCCAAAAACCCACAATTGCACCACCATCATCAACCTTGCTCCACCATCTCATCAGTCGAGATCCAACACCAACGTGATTGTCCATCATCTTCACACTTCATCATCATCTCCTTCAGATAACAACACAACTGATAATGAAGGGTATATCGATTTCCTCATACACCGGAACCTAAGGGTTAGGCAGAAGATTACTCGAAAATGGTGGACTGAAATTTGAGTTTGGAGGCATCGATGATGGTCACAAGATACTCTAACTTAACCACCAGTTCTTTGGTTTAGGGTTTGCAAACCCTAGCTCCGTCAACAACAAAATCTATGGCAGATGTGATGGGGGCGAACCGTATGAGAGATAGAATAGGGTGAAAGATCAAAATAGCAATGATAGCAGTGGTTTCCGGTGATAAAATAAGTAGTTTAAAACACGAACAATATATCTGTAATACATAATTTTTACAAAAGAAGTTTTCTAGTTTAAGATAAAATATTATAACTGTTTAAAAAAAAATTATATACAAATATATTGATGATCTTACTATTTTAAGATCGGATATTACGATCATATTTGATCTTATTTAAAAACGATCCAAATAATATATCTAATCTTATTTAAAAACGATCCAAATAATATCTACATCGATTTACTTATATGAAATCATGATTTTAATTACTTTGCTTGAAACATTCCTTAAACTAATTATTTTAAATCGCAAATCACTTTCTAAAATTCCTTGAAACTAAAATCTGACTAAAAAGTCAAAGTTAAAACCTAACTAGATTGACGGCAAGATCCAGTCACCTGTCAAACCGGACTGCGTCGTTTTAGGTGAACCATCCTTCGCCTCCCAACTTTTACGGTTTCAAAGAGAAGAAAATATTTCAAAATTGGTGGCACACATCACAACGTAAATACATCCCCCCTGTGGCCTCTCTCTCCATACACATAGTAGATCTCAACGCAGAGTATCCTCCATTAACAAAATCTAGAAAAAGAAAGTAAAGTTCAGATGGGACCGAATGGTAACGTACTGAGCTACGAATCGCCGTCGTCGCCGGCGGCTAAGTCTCCTCCCAATCGTTCATCTCTCTTGCAACTAATTAGCAAAAGACGAACAAGTATTCTTTTAGCTTTCTTGGTCTGTGCAATCCTCTTATCATCATGGAATCTCCTTAATTTCTTATTGTCATGGTACGGATCCGTTATAACAACTTCGCCGTCGTCTCCAGTTTGGTGGCCGGCGATCTATGCTTCGGTGACGATGGGTTTGATCTTTGGTGTTTTGGCAATGGCGGCCGCTTTGGTTGTGGCGGTGCCGGCTACGGTGGTGATTTGGATATCTGTTTTGGTTTTAATGACTTTTTGTGGGAAGAGGAGGGAGTGGGTGGTGGAGGAGGGGAGGAAATTGACGGTGGAGATGAGCCGGACGGTGGGTATGGTGGTGATTAAAGAAGGGAACTTGGTGGCTGCTGTGTGTGCTGTTTTTGGGTACTTTGTACTTGTTAGATATGGAGGAGTCGAACATGGTTTGTAAATTGTAATTTTGTTTACTAAAACCTTCGTTTTTAATTGTATATAATTAATATATTCATTCTTTTAAAAATTGTATAGCTCTATTTTTGGTATATGATGAAATCGAATTGTGGAAGATTAGAAACGAGAGTAATATAACACGCAAAAGAAATCAAATCAGTTGGCTCATAGGCCTAAGTACACTAGACATTTAAACACAACTGTCCAGGCCTATCAATATTATCAACTAATTTGTAATCATAGTTTACAATACGTGGAACCATAGTAATAAAATTAACTAAATTTTTATAATAAAATATTAAAATTATTAATTATGAGATTTTTTTTATAAAATTATAATCGGTGATTCAAATAAATACGTAAAACTATATCATCTTATAAATTGTATTAATTTAATTTTATTTTTTATTCTAATGTTATTAATTTAATATAATTAGAGGGGTAAATTAAAAAAAAAAATTATTTAAATGTAGCATCAGGCAATCTTCATCAATGTGAAAATGTAATAATAATTTTTAATTTCAAAATTCTTAAAATTAAAGTTCATTAAGTTTTTTTATCTATTTAAATTATTTGTTTAAATTTAAAAGATAAATAACATTTTCATTATAATAATTCATTATTTTTCTTATTTTCTTATAAATTCAAAGTTCTCAAATATTTTGACATTTATATTTAATTTTTTTTTTAAATTAACTCATGTAATACATGAGTTTCACAACTAGTTTATTAGTATAAGAAGATATCATCATAACTTCACGATAACATTTTACAACCGAAACATTAAACAAAACGATTAGAACATATACATAGTTTAAAGGGATAATGACTTAAAACGGTAATAATACTTTTTAATTTGAACACATTTTGTTTGAGTTTTTTTTTTCAATCCATATTTATTCTTTTAACTTGTTTAAACTATACGCATTCAGACCTTATGACCGACTATTCCAGGTAAGACGGGAAAATAACTTAATACTTAATAGGATAATATATTTCTCACTTTGTACACATTTAATCCTTATTTTTTTTGTTGCAAATAAAGTATTTGTTGTTTTTGTACACATTTAGTATTTATGACAAGTTTCTTCAGGTTTTGCTCACGACATCCTACTTGGAACAATCGTTAATAAGGTGTTTTGGTTGATAATTATGGCCACCGCAGTCTCGGCTGTTTGGTTGCTTAGGTCTTATGGTTTGACTTAGGGATTGTCTTCTAAACGACGTAACTTTTTATATGATCTTGGATTTTAACGATTTTTATATCCACATGTTCCTATTTAAGTTACTACAACTTTCGTTTAGATTACTCCATTAAAAAATAATATATTTTTACTTACGATCTTTACATCCACATTTTCTATATTAATGTATGTATGAACATTTTTTTTATTAGCAGTCCAACGAATCATGAATAACGTGTGGATATAAAGATCGTAGGTAAAAATATATTACTTTAGATTACTCCAGTTATTAACGTTAAAAAGTAATATATTTTTACTTGCGATTTTATAAAAAAAACGTATACATACATTCATAAATAATGCGTGGATATAAATATTGTAAGTAATATATATATATATATATATATATATATATATATATATATATATATATATATATATATATATATATATATTACTTTTTAAGATGAGTAATCTAAACATAAGTGTAGTAACTTAAATGTGAACACGTGGATATAAAGATCATTAAAATTCGAGATCGTATGAAGAAGTTACAACGTTCAGAACACAATACCTAAGCCAAACCACAAGACCTAAGCAACCAAGCAGTCGAGGCCATAGTGGCCATAAGCATCAACAACCCTGAACACATCCTTAATGATTCTCTCACGTAGGCTGTCGTAAGTAACACTTGAAGAAACCAATCATAAATTTTGAATGTGTACAAAAACAACAAGGAATTATTTTGCAACAAAAAAATATAATGACTAAATGTGTACAAAGTAATATATATATATATATATATATATAGATATATTATATATATATATATATATATATATATACACTATCATATTAAATCATTTTCTCATCTTATATGGAGTAGCCATCCATAATGACTGAATGTGCACAGTTTAAACAAGTTGAAGGGGTAAATGTGGATGAAAAAAAATCAGTGACTAAATTGAAAAGTATATTACCCTTTAAACTAAAATCATAACTTCACGATTTAGAATTAACTTTTTACAACTAAAACGTTAAACAAAACTGTTAAGGCAAATATAGTTTAAACTAAACGTTGTGGAATGTCCTGCTTATCATAGAATTACTAACACTGCTATATATTAATAAAACGTTATTTTCATAATGACTGAACAACAACCCTTTATGAAGATGTCGGTGTACCAAAGAGTCTAGGGTACTTAAAGAATCTGAATCTGGCTAGTGACGACTTTGTCTTGAACAAAGTGCATATCTATCTCAATATATTTTGTACTTTGGTTTGAACTAGATTATATGAGAGATAGTAATATTACACTAACATTGTCACAATAGATTATGTCTTTCTTGAGAAGGGAATGATGCTCGTGGAAAAGATTATGTAACCAACATGACTTATATACAAAAACAGCAAAGCCTCCAGACACAATATTAGAGAAAAAGAAAGTGGGTTGTTTTTTTCACGACCACGAAAAAATATTGGTTGCGATAAATATATAATGCACGCTAATAGAATGTTGTGTTGATGGATATCCCCCCATTCGGCATCAGAATACGCAATAAAACCGAAAGTAGTCAAGAGATGGAGTTGTAAGCCAAACTCAATAGTGTCGTGAATATATCTCAAAATATGTTTGAGACCATTCAAGTGAAGTTCTCACATTTCATGCATGTATATGGATATATGTTGAACCGCTTAAGATAGGTTTGGTCTAATGAATGTGAGATACAGAAAGCCTCCAACTAGCTTGCGGCATAGAGTCGGATCGGAAATAGGAGGGCCACTTATGATCAACCTTGGACCGAGTGTATGTGGGAGTTACATTTCAACATATTTGCATGTTCCAATAGTTGAAAGGCATACTTGCGTTGCGATAAGAAGAGCCAATTTTAGTTACATGTCAAGGATGTGTCATGGTAAACTCGTTGAATAATAACGAGATGATATTTCTTAGGAGATTAATGTAAAAAATGATAAGGGCAATGTCATAAACATATATATATTAATATATATATATATATATATATATATATATATATATATTATTAGATATATATAATATTATAGATATATGCCAAGGCATCGCCTTTCCTGAATATGAAAAGAAATGTGTAAGATTTGCAATGTATAACCTCATTTGTGGTAATAAACGATGCAAACTGATGGAGCTTGAACTCTTGAGGCTTGCATAAGTTTGTAGAAGTATACCTGCAAGTGGAAAACATATGTTGAGTGTTGAGGGTCGTGAAAACTAGGAGGCTGATGTTGCGTTTTTATTCAAAAATAGTCCAATTATAGTCTAAAATTTGATGTAATTAGCAACGGAAGCATTTTTATTATTTGAATAAATTATAACCTTTTTAACCCACCAATGATCATTTTGCAAGACTTGGAAAGATTAAACACAACCAAATATAGAATAAAGTATAAGAAACTTTGAAGACTTTGATTGCTTTTGGAAATTAGGAAGTTGATAAAGATGGCTTTAAAACTCTAAGTAGAGGTTCTCTATAATGTATCAACCAAGAAAGAGTTGAACCACCAAAATATGTTAGTATGTCATTACACTTTTATAAAGTTGTTCTTAAGCTTTAAGACTTATACCAAATCAATGCTTAAAGAGAAGAAACTTTAAAGCCTTCATTTCTATCACCAAAATGGGAGAATGATGAAGAGAGGGAGATCATACCAATTCCGAAAATTGGTTGCCAAATTTTTTGGAGAAATATGTGAGTAAACAACTAGCCAAAACTCATCTCTTAAGCCTTTATTTTTGTAACATCCATAAAATTCAAGCCAATTTAAAACTTTTTCAACCATTCAAAAACCATTAATTATTACAAAATGTTTTCAAAATAGTTTCATATCAGAGAATCCCAGACGTCAAAATCATAAAATGTGAGGAGGTGCACGATCAAGCCTTCGCCTTCTCGCGATCATCTGAAGTACCTGAAACAAAATCAACAACTGTAAGCCCGAAGATTAGTGAGTTCCCCCAAAACACCAACGCCATACAATCAAAACAATATCATAGGAAACAACATGCATATAGAGTCTACAGTATGACCAGACCTCCCTCACCGGGCCTTCGCTCTATTTGGCCCACTCTCATAGTATTCAGTATAACTGGACCTCCCGCACCGGGCCTTCAGTCTATCTGGCCCACTCTCAGAACCTTCAGCATGTGTGGTCCACCCTCCCGGGCCTTCAGCCTGTCTGGACCGTTCTCCGGGCCTTCGGCCTAACTAGTACGCCCTGATGGGTCTGCATTCTATCCGGGCCGCCCTGGGTATGTTGGCTTAGAGCACAAAGCAGGACCGCCTCAACCTACCCACAATCACATAATCAATACATAAATATCATAAGCTAACTAGCATGCACAAATAATCATACAGATCTAACAGATCACTAATCATAGCATCATCCTATATACCAGGATACCAATCTAATAGATCACTAAACATAGCATCATCCTATAACCAGGATACAGATCTAACAGATCACTAACATAACATCATCCTATAACCAGGATACAGATCTAACAGATCATTAACATAGCATCATCCTATAACCAGGATACAATCCAAAAAGGGTCAGCCTTGGTGCCTTAGACCTTGTTGATATAGTGAGAAGAACTCACCTCACAATGTCGAACTGAACCGAAAAGATCAAGCTCTCGAATCACAGCTCCAAACTCAAACACCTACAACCATCATAGGACCAATTCCATCAAGACCCAAATTACCAAAATACCCTTAAATTCAAACTTGGTCAACCATGGTCAAAGTCAACGGTCAACAGTCAAGGTCAACAGTC